ACAGCAGTGTAGATTTTGGTTTCCCAGAGCAACACAAGGGCGTTACATTCAGACTTCACCAAGACACAATCCTTGTGAGTGAGCTACGTGTGCTAAAGGCAGCACAGCGGCACAAAGCCGCTGGGTGTTGTTCGTACTCGAGGAAAGCCAGCCAAAAGGTGGTTGCACATAGCATAGTAGTGTCCGCGTACCTTGCACGTAGTCGGAATCATCCTCCTCGGAATCGGGTACAGCTTCTCCACTCATGGCTGCTGAAGAAGGGATGGCACCGATACCGACACACCTCAGCTTTGACAAACAGTACTAGCAGGGAGGTACAGGTGACTGCGCCTGCCGCCTCATGCGGTACCTCTTGCGGTACCAAGCGGGGGGACAGGAAGATGGGATAAATGGGGGTATGGGGTACATGAACGGAGCCCCTAATCTCGCCGCCTGCTTGCCCGGCCACTCAGCAGCTCAGCAGGTGACGCTGAGCTGAAGCTCCGTCAATTGTCCACTACTTGGCTAGGCTGCTAGGTACATCTGTGGCTGCTCTGTGTGCGGCGTCGTCTCTCGCGGATGTCGGGCGGTGCTAAATCTTCATCAGGAACGGCCCGTGAGCTTCTTTGCAGTCGTTGCTACAAGCGAGAGTCGTGCGTGCAATGTTGCGGCACTCGCTACTGCCTCCGGGTAAGTACAATACATCATTCGGGCGAGCAGGGTGTACACATGTTAAATAGTACTGCCTCCTCTTTGTTCGCGGTACTTCACCCAAGGTGTTGAGCGTTGAGTGTATGTGGCTGCTACTTCTTTGTTCAACCCTGCTTTTAGCGCTCAATGTGTCAAGTTTGAAGTATATAAAAATTGCGCGAACGATGGTTTCTCCGGCAAGATTTTGCAAATTCGCACATGAGACGACAGAGGTTTAGGTTTCCCTCTACTCGCTCAAAAGACTTTACGGTAAGAACTTGCCTTTCGATTGTGGTTATATCTCGAACGGGTAATTTTTCTGTGTTTTCATCCACATTTTCTAAAAAAAGAGTACTCAAGTACTGCTGTGTATTTCTGGGTGCTGTACAGCAGTCAGTACACCTGCTTGTCGTCGGAAGTCTCCACAGCAGTATCTCGGTCACTGCAGTCATCGCTGCCTTTTGGCTGCCTGGCTGCCTGGCTGCCTCTCTCCCTCTCTCACTGCGTGACCCTCGCTACGTATATTCGTTTTGATATTTTCGAGAAATTTTCATAATGGATGACGACGTCGTCGGTGGACTCTCAGTACTAAAGCTGTGTAGGCGGAGGGCCGGCCTAGTTGCACACCGGAAGCACACAACTGCACTCTGGAAAAACATAGCAACACGTGCCTACATATACCGTAGAAAGAAGCCTTTTGTTTGCCCGAGGCTCGCTAGCATTTTGTCCGATGAAAACGCCAACAACGGCTACATGCATATTGCAGTTTTTCGGGTAGGATTTTTAAGTTAGCGCCCGTCGGTTGGCCATCATTTCAAGTCTCTTTAGGACCGTAATTTTTTACCCCCCGACAAAGATAGCGTATTTGTACACACGCCGCATTCAACAGTCGACATCCCAATATAAGAGGGACAGAGAGAACAGAAGAAGACGAGAGACAGAGACATACAAAAAAGTGAGCCAAGCTAAAATGCGCCAGCAGCTATAAATATGCCGTGCTGCGCGTAGTTCTCTCCGCTCTGCGCACGGCGGGGTCAGGTTCTCAAGATCTTTTTTTTTTCGTCTTCATATCAAATCAGCGCTCACAGCGCTTGTGCCGTTTTATTCCAACCCGTGGTCACACAGAAGATCTAGGCCACATGAAACCTTGCGGTTTGGCGCTTGCACACGGGATGAATTTGTTAATCGTTTCATGTTTTACGTAGGCACGGCCTCAGCAGCTGTCGACGTCTCTCGACGCGACCGTTGTCACCTTGATGGTTGCTTGATTTTCCAACCCTTGACTGAAAGAACTCATCACAGGAAGTGCTACTGGACAATTGTGGTGCCACTCACTAAATACGACATAAACCGCGCGCATATCCATCTGTTATGGTCTGGTCGCCGGAATATTGCATCGTATCCCTCTCCGGCGTTGTTCCACGGTGCCTGTTTGACCTTGCCCCCAGCACTTCCACACCAGCAACCACTCAAGCGACCACCCGCAGAAAGCGATCGTCATGAACCGAAGAGCGCTTGACGACCAGCTCCCAGCTTTTCGCGAGGTAAGCGGGCGAGGGGCTCAGGGGCTGAACTTTTTGTTGGCGGTCTCTTGAGCAAGGCGGGTACCGAGCAATGGCGAAGAGTAGCCCGGCTTGGGGCATCGACCGTGCTCTGGGACGGTCACCGTGATCCAGCCACTCTTTTGCCCCACATGATATTGGTGCCTCATTTTACCCCCAACACCATCAGTAGGTATTGCTTTTTTTATGTGGTGTGATCAGCAGGTGCTCGTATCTTGAGCACCAGGTGTGCTGGGTGGGACACTTGATCACCATTCATGGGTAAGAGCTTTCTTCCTAGCTTGGGGCCTTCGTGTTTTTCCATGCGGCACCTTTCACAACGTTATGCACGCTGCACGTTGTGTTAGCGACAGTACTGGGTGTGCCTCGAGAGGTCCAGCGCACCCCCGCATCAACACCAGCGAACCATCCGTGCGGCTCACTGTCGGCGGACCACCTGATACAACCAATGCCCATCTCTTCGCATAGGACCACTAGCACTTCCAAAGCACTGTGATGGTGTGTTCCGATGATCATGCTCTCTGGCAGATGTGGAGGGAGGCGTTCCAATCAGTCGCAAACGACGTGGGTCGACTGTCGCGAGACGTTAGCAAGAGGGTCGAGGATGACCCCCTAGCCTCGATCGGCATGGCCCTGAAACCGGTACGAAACGGGAAGAATCCGGAACGAAACGGCAAGAACCCGGAACACCGGTCGTTGGGGTCAGCTTCGTCGGCGACAAAACGGCGGCGGAAGGAGGAACTGGAGAAAGAGGTAGCGGCGGCGGCGGCAGTGGATCCGTTCGCTCGACGAAGAACCCGACCAAAAAGCTACTGGGCCGTGGGACACGAGTTAGACGCCCCCGAAGAGGTGTGTGCGTGTGCGTGCATTGCAGGCGTCAGGTACACCATATCGGTTGGCACCGCGTTCCTCTAGCTAGTTAAGGGGTTGAAGAACACGAGCTTTGATGTTGGCAATTTTTGAAAACAAACGCAAGAGCACCATAAAACGCACAAGAGACACACAAGACCAGTCGGAAGGCATTGCGAAAAACAGAAGTCGTTGATTCTCTCACAGGGCGGCAGTAGAGGCTTCTCAAAACATACATTTCACGCGTCTTGCTCCACACGCCTCCTTTGAAATCAAGAAAAAAAATGCATACCACTCTAAATTCAAGTCAATATAGCCAAAACGGCAGGCGCTCAAATAAGCCCTGTGTTGCCAGGAACCTGGTAATTAGCACTTGTATCACTAGAGGACATGCTACAGCAGCGGGGGGTGCGTGTTGACGCTTGATAGCAACGAGCTCGTTGTTGTCGTCCTTGTGGCTTTGGGAGGCTGAATCTTCTTCGGATTCGTCCCCGTTAGAGCCGCCCCCGCTCTTCTTTTTGTGAGCAGAGACGTTGGTCAGCACCTCTGCTGCCGCTGCTTGTTGTTCATCAGCAGATTTGGCCGACGGGTCCGTAGCAGTTTCAGCTGCTTGGGCCCGCTTGTTTTTCTTAGCCTTTTTCTTTTGGCCTTTAGTGAGGGCACTGGCGTGTACCCGCGAACAGACTTTCGTCGAACGCCAGTGAGAATACCCTTACTCTGTTACGAGTAAAGGTCCCTGAAGTGGTGAATAACCGTTCACCAACGGATGTAATTTCGTTCTTATTGCAATGTGGCAAGGAAAGGCCAAGCGTGGCTGACTTTAGTCGGCCTAGCTAGGTTCAAAGGTGAGAGTGAGCCTCAGGGTCCGCTTCCACCCTCCGGCTGGTCACAGCAGACGGAGGGTCTTTAAGTTGTAAAGATCCTCAGACCTCGAGAACGTCGTTCCTGGGGTCACGGATCTCTACGGTTGTATGTACGTCCCTACCACTGGGAAGATACCTATATCCTGGTTCCCACACACAGGCTCCATTCTTCGTGCCACACTACGGGTACTATGTACTGGATGGAGGACAAACAGGTTTTGGCGGATGGACCGAGTTCCTGTTTGATTTCTCCTCTCCATGCTGTCCGCGTCAACATCTTTCCCAACAATGGTGTAGGCCGAGGGGTCTGCGGCAGACGAGAGGGCCGCGGCAATCGCCGCCGCCGCCCCCCGCGCGGGTGAGTACCAGTGCGAGTCGTGCGAATCCGACAACACCAGCTTTGACATCATTGGCGGGGCGGCTGTCGGGACTCGGAAGGCGGAGACCTTCGGCAAGAAGGATGCTCCCGAGCTGATCCTCAGGGTGTTGTGTCACGCATGCGGCAATAACTGGCTCGAAGAGCGATAGTAGCATCGAGGGCGTGACATATTGTAGCATCGCATTGTGTGTGTGTCTCTGGCGGGCTACGCCCGTTGTTGTACTAGTGCATATCCGCGTGCAGTATGATGTTGATCGATCGGTGTGGCTCTTTGCCTGACGGTTTGCGATCAATATCTGGTTTGTTCGCGCTTCTGTTTTGGCTGATTTTTTCCGAGTCTGGTTGACCTCGGTGACAGCGAACGCCGATTTTGCTCATGTGAGTCCTTGGACATTCTTTGTTTAACTGGACCAAATCGCTGCTTTCGAAATTCGTTTCTCCGAAAAAGCGCCCTCACTTTCCTCTCCTGTTCACGGGGACATCCTGAGCCGAATTCTCTTCGTCGTTCCTGCAAGCGGGTCTCTTGGCCCCAGGGAATGGAGTATGAGGTAGCGGTAGATGACTTGGAGTGGCTGCTGCGGGAACGCTGTTCTTTGTTGACGCTCCCCCTAGTTTTATTACAGTACTCGATATTTTTTTTCTTTCGGGGGGGCGCGGCGACCTCGACTTTGCTCGTTTCGTCCCGGGGTTGAGCGGCATAGCCACAAACCGAGCGCACGCTCGGTTTCCAGGGCCTCTTCACACCGAGCTTGTCTCCTCGAATCCAGTCTGGTGTGACGTCCACAGTGGTCTCGCTATCTATGCTCATCAACGCGTCTTTGTCGGCTGTACCGGCGTGACCGTACCGACAGTTGGAGCTTTTTTCTCTCTGAAAGCAGCTGCTGCGTTGGCGTCAGCCACAGCTCTAGCGCCGTCGACCGTTGAGACCATGGTGGTTTCGATATCACGTAAGCGGTCTGTCGTCGACTCGCGGATCTCGTTCAAGGCCTCTTCCTCTCCCCTTCGTACCAAGCCGATTGGCAGGCGCTCAAAGGTAGAACAGGAGGCTCTCCTCCCGCAACGGTTCAACCGGACTTGAGATTGGCTTTTGCTCTGTAGGTCCCTCGGTGTCACAGTGGGAGGGGAGTTGCTTGTCCTCGTGCTCTTCCTCCTGGGCCCCCACTCTCTCGTTTCCTCTGAATTCGCCATGAGTCAGACGTCGCAGAAGGAGCATACCGCACAAAGAAGCGTCGTGAGAAAGTTCGAGGTCTTGGTAGAACATAGATAGGTGGTTCCGTAGAGCCGTTAACTTAGAGAGATCCGGGTTCAAAACCATCGCTACCTTACCCCCAGCCGTATCTCGACAAATTGTATATTCCGCTTTTTTTATTTTTCATTGATGATGCTGGTGCTGTGTTTCGCGGTGAAACTTGAGTGGTAATTTTTGGGCAATTTACAAAATGGGGTATGCCCCGCGTGTTTGGTCACAAAATGGGGTGAACGTTTTGTCGGTCCCAGGCGCAACGCCTGACGCGGGGTAGGCGCCTTTAAACCGCCTTCTAGCGCTTCAACCCCATGCGCCAGGTCCTTAGAAAGGACGCCAAATGCTTTTCTGCTTTTCAGGAACAGGGTTAACTAGGGCCTGGAAGAGGGGAGCTTGTCGGAGGACCCCACTTTGTTCACGAAACTGCGGGGTACACCCCCCTGTCTGCTGAAAGTTTATCTAGTACCCCAAATTATTCACAAACGTACCCCATACTGTTCAAGGCATACCCCTTTTTGTTCAGTCGTGACGCTCCTGCGGACTGTCAAAATGGCAACCAACAATCAACCGCAGACCACTGTAGGTGTGGCGACAGAAGATGTTGGGGTATTGTTGTTGTTGCTGTTGTTGTTGTTGCTGTTGTTGTTGTTGTTGTCTTCACATTAAAAACCGTTCCGATCTCTCTCTACCCAGTACCTTCGTGTGTCCGTACTGATCCAACACTCGACGCGGTCGATTCCCGTGGTCACAGGTTAACTTACCCTAAAAAGGTACACTCAAATAATCTGGTTCTGAGGGGTCCGCAAGTCAATAGAAATCAACGACAGATATTCTGGAGTCCTCCACTCCCTCTGCGCGCTATGCGAGGTATCAACTGAGACTAGGAGTCACTCTCATCGGCCGGAGAGAAAGAGGTACACCCCCTTTATGGTGGTCTGCGGTGCAACACGCAGGTTTCGCGGTCTGCGCCGCGGCAAGAAGACAGAAGATGTTGGGGTATGGTGGTCTGCGGTGCAACATACAGACTTTGTTGTAGTCTGCGGCGAGGCAAGGAGACAGAAGATACAGAGATACCAGGTATGTTGGTCTGCGGTTGATTGTTGGTTGCCATTTTGACAGTCCGTAGGAGCGTCACGACTGAACAAAAAGGGGTATGCCTTGAACAGTATGGGGTACGTTTGTGAACAATTTGGGGTACTAGATAAACTTTTAGCAGACAGGGGGGTGTACCCCGCGGTTTCGTGAACAAAGTGGGGTCCTCCGACAAGCTCCCCTCTTCCAGGCCCTAGTTAACCCTGTTCCTGTGGGTGAAAAGCAGAAAAGCATTTGGCGTCCTTTCTAAGGACCTGGCGCATGGGGTTGAAGCGCTAGAAGGCGGTTTAAAGGCGCCTACCCGGCGTCAGGCGTTGCACCCGGCACCGAAAAAACGTTTACCCCATTTTGTGACCAAACACGCGGGGTATACCCCATTTTGTAAATTGTCCATAATTTTTTCAATGGGTTTGGGAGACGTCACCTCTCTTTTGGTTCATTGTTGTTGCTTTGTTTACTTGAATTGATAGTGGTGCTGTTTGTTGTTTGGGTGTTACTGTTATGTTTTGGGACTGTTCTCCTCGTCATTCCCATCATTGTCTTGTCGCTGTCGTCGCCACGTTGAAGATATTACTCGCGACCTCTCTCTCTCGACTAGCAACCATGCAGGTGGATGGAAGGTTATTTTCCAACCAGCCCCTTTCCGACGGTTTCTTCTCCTCAACGCAAAGCACGCATCATTCGAAGTTCAATACTTATTTAATCTCCAATCGCCAGGCAGACTCAGAGCAAGTTCCACGCGAACAAGAGCACAAAAAAACACATTCATTCATACATACATATACCCCTGAAATCCATATCCATGAGGTACAAAACTATTTGCTTCTTGTACATCGAGCAAGAAAACACAGAGAAGGTAGGGGAGAGCCGCGAAAACAGTAATAAAAGGGATAACAAAAGAAATCCGTGACTACTCCTCCCGTGCTCCAACTACTGACTTCTGCTCGATGAAGCACAAAAAAGTTACCACGCACAGCACAAGAAGCCTATCTAAGGTTGATAATTCGCATCATCTTCGCCTACATACCTACCTGACCTTGCCGTATGCATTATATGTACGCGCATATTTCTGAGTATCACCCCACCGAGCAGTCTTCTGACGAAACCAGGCGTTCAACACATCATCATTCGAACATTGTTATATCCCGTCATTCATCGATTACTTACATGAAAGGCACCTACCCAAACTGGAATGGAGCAACTAGCATGAACATTGTATGGACGCTTTATGGGCGTTGCGTGAGCGCTAAATGGATATTTTGAATTAATTTCGTTGGATATGGATGTTTGACCTCGTTGTGGGGTATTGAAGTATAGCTTCAAGGAAGATCAGAATCCCACAGCCCCGCTCCCGCACTCTCCGAGGGCTTAAAACTTTAGTTGCCAACAACGCCAGGCTGACACGCCTCATCGTATATAGACTACATGTGGTCAACGCTGGTCGTCCACAAGTCTCTAGCCGACATTTTCTGCAATGCTCGCTGCAGTAAACTTCCCGATCCCTCTCGGCCCTTACACAATGAAGGAGGCCCCATAAATATTGTCGCATGCCTTCCTGTGGTGCTTTTGTATGTGTGTTGCTTTCGTCTCTGGGCCTCTGGACATGAGACTTTTGGACGTTTGTTTCGAAGAGAGAGCCAGTTTTTGTAGGGGCGAACAAACAGATGTCGAGGCAAGCCTTCGCTTCGGAATACCGTGTTTTCGGTGACCGCCCAGGTTCGTTCTGTTCGCACGAGTCCTTGACATGGCACAGCAGTGTGCAAGGAGACAGTTCTAACACGATATGGAAACGACTACGCCTTGACCCAACCTTCTAACTCACGAGCTCACGAGCTCACGAGGCAAACGACCACGGTTTCCACCTGATGAGCGAGGCACTGATTGGCCGAGGCGGACATTCCAGCGATCACCCGAGAAATGAGGAAAGGCGTCTCGGCTCTCCAGCCCCCTCCAGCTCTGTGCCCATTCCCCTTCCTCACAGCCCACGCAAGAGGGAACTTTGCCAGATAAACTCATCCGAGACCTTAATCGCCGCAACCGGGAAAGTTTGCCCTCACATCGTTAGATCGGTGCGGCATTCGTGGTTCCACAAGCGCACGAGCAACCCCCTTCACAACCAGTCAAACCAGCAGCCTCGCCCACACGCCTTGTTTTGGGTTGGTTGGTATTATTCTCCGGATAACGACCAGGAGTCGGGATCCTCCCACTGCTATACCCTCATCTCCCCCCTTTGTAGCTGAGTCGAAGCCACGTGCAATGCCCGAAAGTGTCGGACTGGGGTTAGAGCTCGTTGGTCTATTATGCTGTGTAGACTACTGCTGTAGACTACTGTATGTAGAGAAATGCATATCACGGTGGCGAGCGCATTTTCCTGGGCCTAGGGGACAAAGAAGCCCCGAGTGCCCGGTGGCCAAGCCCCTTCGCGTGGAAACCATGGACCACCCCAATCCCCCCGGGACCGGCAAGATCGATGCTCAGGATCAGTACTACTGTAGGTTGCATCCGGGTCACTTGCAGCAGTCTATGTACGCAATGGGATCTGGTATTTCCTCAGAGTAAAAACCTTTATACTCTTCATTGTATAGGCTTTTGTGTCACATCCGAAAACCCATACACCAGAAAAGGGGAGTATTGAGGCGCGGGGTTGGCTCAAACGTGCAATAGTCTGCATCTGCCATGCTGTGTGTGATGAAGACTTTCTCCGCAGTTCATACATACGTATCCGGAGTATATTGAGCGGATCTTCAAACTGCTGTGCATCCGCTCCCGCTGATGTCAATTGCTACACCAAAGAACGGCGGAGTAATAACACACACACACCGTGACGCTTTGATACAGCAGTACCGCAAAACGCTAAGCACCTA